CCTGCACATTTCAACGACAGATCCTGCATGCTGCAACTAAGACCTGATGCAGCCGTAAATAAATAAGTATTTAAAATGTGAAGTAGTTAGCACAGTGATTGGCACATAGCCGCAGTTGTTGAATGTTCGCCTTAATAATAATTATTATTGATGTCAGTATTTACTGTCTGTACTAGGTAAGATTCTGGGGCTTTGCTTGAAGGTTGTCTGGCAACAGGAGACTTCGTTTCTCCTTTAAGGCAATGGAGATAGGTTACTTTCAGAAGGGGAGGTGCTGTGCATCTTAATACTAATACTAATCTTGGGACTTACCTGACAGTCAAGGTTAGGACTCCATGCTGTCACTGCCAAGGGCATGGGTTCGATCCCTGGTTGGCGACCTAAGATCCACAAGCCACGTGGTGCTGCCAAAAAAAAAAATTACTGTTACTAATAATAAGCACTAACATTGAGCATTTGCTGTGTGCCAGCCATGTGGTAAGTGCTTTACTCATACATTCTTACAGCAGGCCTATAATTTAGGTCCTGTTGTTATCATTTTCCAAATGAGATAAAGGAAGCACAGAGAGCTTAACTGACTTACCCAAGGCCAAACAGTCAAGAAACAATATGACCGTATTGGTGTTTGAGGGGAAGGGAGGTGGGAGGGGGGTTCAGGATGGGGGACACAGGTGCACCCATGGCTGATTCATGTCAATGTATGGCAAAAGCACTACAATATTGTAAAGTAGTTAGCCTCCAATTAAATTAATTTAAAAAAAGAAAATATAACTGCAATTTAAACCCAACCTTGGAACTTGAGAGGGCATGGTGCTTTTGAGAGCAAGCCGTCTCTCTAGTACCCAAGGAGTTCTCACCTGGAACGATGAAATAATCATTGCCCGTAAGTCCCAGGTTCTGAAGACCAAACCCTGTTCCTTTCCCACCAGTTCTAAAAAATAACCCCTGCCCGTTCCCTGTCCTCTGAGGCTGATAAGATCGGGGAATATCACTTCTGCCTCTGCAAGGGGAAGCAGGAACTGGGTTTGCCTCCCAACTGTGCCACTTAATGGTTCTGTCCTAGCCAAGTCACACCCCGTCTTTGAGCCTCAGTTTCCTTGTCTATAAAATAGGGATGATAATAGCTCTGCCTCCGGGGCTGTTGTGAGGAGCAAAAAAACAAGTCCTGCATGAACTATAAAGTACTCTTCAGCACAAGGCTTCCTCTCCTTGTTGCTATGGGGATGGCGAGCACTCCGGGAAAGCAGTCACAGCCCGTATAGTGCATAGCAGGCAGATTGCCATCTCTGGAAACAGTCCTGGATTCGAGTCCCAGATCTGCCTCTGACGCCTGTGTGACCTTGGGGCAGCCTTAGCCTCAGTTTTCTCATCTATAAAATGGAGGGAATTGTACTGATCTTGTAGGGCTAGAGGGAATGCACAGTGAAAGAAGGCACAAACACCATGAACCAGTGCCTGGTACAGAACTGCCGGAACACAGGGATTCAGGGGCAGAGGGAGCAGGGAGAATCACCCTGACCCCTCCACGCAACCCCTGCCTGAGGGCGAGAGGGTAGAGAGGACTGTGCTCAGAGGCAGAATGGTCTCCAAGCCACTGCCCTGCCTCTGGCATCCTCAGCGCAGGCTGGGTCCACTGCATCTCTCTCTCTCTCCCTCCCTCCTTCTCGTCAAACAAGTTCTTCTCCACTGAGCAATCCCAGGGGGCCCCCGAACCTCGGTTCCAGCCAAGCTTGCAGGCTTTCCCCGCCTCCACATCCTGAATCCACAGCCTTTGCATTTGCCATTCCCTCCACCTGGAATGCTCTCTCCTCCCCAGAGCGACTTTGATGGGGGAAGGGGGGGGGGGGCGGCGCTGGAGGGGAAGGATCTGGAATGATGCTCCCCCACCACCTCATTCCCCTTGCCTGCAACCCCCACACGGCAAGCCTGACCTCCCCCCTTCCCAGCATGGGGGATGAGACAGCGCTGGGAGGGGGAAGAGGAGGGGGAGGACTCCAGTGAAGGGCCCTCTGTGGGGTTTTCACCTGCTCAGAAGAGGCAGACGGAAATGAAAGCTCTAGAAAAATGCCTGCCGCTCTGCTCCCGAGGCCCCAGCTCGGCGAAGCCTCCCTGCCTTCCCACCGTGCCATCTTCTCTCCCTCCCCCCTCCTCCTGCAGGCAGGTGCCACACAGTCAAGGAACACGGGTGGGCGGGCAGGCCTGAAAGCCTTGAGTTCAAATCCCATTCCTGCCGCTTACCCAGGGAGTGGCCTCTGCAAGCTGTCTGGCCTGCTTACACCTCATTTCTTGGTAAAAGGTTACAACAATCCCTTCTTCTCAGGCCGCTGTGAGGAATAAATAGGGAAGCCAGATGAAAGTGCCCAGCACAACCAAAGCGCTCAGCAGTGGAGTTGGTAACAGTGATGGCAACACACCCAGTGCCCACGTGTGCCTGGCACAGCTCTCAGCACTTGGCAAATATTAGTCTATTTGATTCCTGGTGAGGTGGATCCCATTACTGTTAGGGGAAGCACACTGACTAAAACATCCACCCTGGCCAGGCACCATAGTAACCATTTGCATGAGTTGTTTTATGACAGGAGGTCCTGGTAAGGAACACGGGCCTAATAAGCCACCACCAACCAGAAGAGTTCAGGAGAGGTCAAAAGGAGACACCACATGTCCGACCACCTCCCAGAACCCTTCTCTCTGGCATTCATTTGGCTGAACAAGGCGTGCACCACCAGGAAGGACTCTTGAGTCAGAATGATTGGCTAAACACAACTCAGAAACTAATCCCATCACCATAAAACCCAAGACTGAGAGCCACGTGGCAAAGCAGTTGTCCTGGGTTCCCTTATCCTAGTGCTCTCCGCCTGGGCACCCTTTCCCAATAAAACTCTTGCTTTGTCAGCATATGTGTCTCCTTGGACAAGTCATTTCTGAGTGTTAGACAAGAGTCCAGTTTGGGGCCCTGGAAGGGGTCCCTCTTCCTGCAACATTACTATCCCTTGTTTTACAGATGAGGACACTGAGGCTCAGTGAGGTTCTGTAACCTGCGCCAGGCCACACAGCTTAGTTCTAAGAGGCAGAGCTTAGTTCTGTTCTTACCTTTGCACTCTGGTGCTCTCAGTGGTCATTGTTTTATTTGCTGTTATCTCTACTGACTCTATGCCCTCAGTAAGTACATGTTATTCTTTTTTTTCCCTCCCACCTTCAAAATCCTGCCTGAATTTTCTCTCCTTTGTAACATCTTTTAGTCTATAATTTAATGAGCATCTACTGCTGACATGCCAGACCTGTGCAGGGCAGTGGGGATCCAGGATCCATCCACCCAGTCTCTGCTCTCTAGTGAGGGAGAAAAACACATACATAAAATCTACACGTACTTAGGACTTCCCTGGTGGTCAAGTGGCTAAGACTCTGAGCTCCCAACACAGGGCCTGGGTTCTATCCCTGGTCAGGGAACTGGATCCCACAGACCACAGCTAAAGATCCCACATGCTGCAATTGAAAGAGGCCAAGTGCCACAACTAAGACCTGGTAAAGCCAAATAAATATGTAAATAAATATTTTTTAAAAAATAAATAAAACTGTCTAATAGCAAAAGGAAAAGTACAAGTATTTTTTTAAAAACACACATACATTATTAAAAAAAAGAGAGGAACACCAATTGCAGCAGGAGCTGGGAGCCCACAGAAGCATAGAACTTAACTGGAGAATTGGGGCAGGCTTACCAGAAGAGGGATCATTTGAATGGGGTCTTGAAGGGTGAGTAGGAGTTCCTCAAACAGAGTTATAATATAGAGACATAGAATATGATGTATAGTGCAAACCCTGCAAAGGAGACTGAATCTATAAAGGCTAGATAAAAACATACCGGGGTAAGTTCTATGCTAGGTCTTCTGGGCACTGCAGATACAGAGGTGGAAAGAAATTAAATTAAATTAACCAGGCCCCCAGGGAGTTTACAGACTTGAAATCAGGAAAAAGAAAGCAATAAGTAAAGCAAAAACAGCAGTATTAAAGAAGAATCCAGAGAGGCTTTGGGACTACCAAAAAAGAGCGTAAACCTGTCAAGGGGTCAGTGAGTGCTTCCTGGAGGAGTAGTTGATGCCTGTGCTGTCACCTCAGTGGTGTCCAACTGTTTGTGACCTTGTGGATGGTAGCCCACTGGGCTTATCTGTCCATGGGATTCTCCAAGCAGTACTGGAATGGGTTGCCATGCCCTCCTCCAGGGGATCTTCCCAACCCAGGGATCGAACCTATGTCTCTTATGTCTCCTGCATTGGCATGTGGGTTTTTTTGTCACTAGCACTACCTGGGAAGCCAGTTGATATCTAGGCTGAGATTTAAAGATCAGGGCCAAGGACTTCCCTGGTGGTCCAGTGGCTGAGACTTGACGCTCCCAGTGCAGGGAGCTCGGGTTTGATCCCTGGTCAGGGAATTTGATCCCAGAAGCCACAACTAAGAATTCACATGCCACAGCTAAAAATTCCGCATGCGGCAAAAAAGATAGAAGATCCTATGTGCCACAACTAAGACCCAACACGGCCAAATAAATTTTTGTAAGTTATTTTTTATTGAAGCATAATTGCTTTACAGAATTTTGTTGTTTTCTGTCGAACCTCAACCAGAATCAGTCATAGATATGCATATATCCCCTCCCTTTTGAACCTCCTTCCCATCTCCCTCCCCATCCCACCCCCCTAGGTTGCTGCAGAGCCCCTGTTTGAGTTTCTTAGTCATACAGCAAATTCCCCCGTTGGCTATCTATTTTACATATGGTAATGTAAGTTTCCAATAAATATTTTTAAAAATAAAAAAAGGAAAAATCAGAGCCAGATTATGTCAACCTACCACCACACAGCCCATATGTAAATTCAACATAAAAACAAAACTGACTATAAGAGTAAGGAACTCCAATAAACTTCAGATGTTTGCCATGAATACTATTTAAATGTTTTTTAAATTATCAAACATCAAATCATTTTTCAAAAATGTTTTTAGTGCCCCTGCTTTGCTGGTGTCCTGAATACATGTCTCTCTGCTTGTTGGGTAATCTGACACGGTAACTGGCCAGAGGGAGTCAGCCAGGTGAGAGCTGGGGAAGGGTGTGGCTGGCAGGGGGGAGTTTCTTGTAAGTACAAAGGCCCAGAGGCAAGAGAAAAGATGGCGTGTTGGGGGAAGAAGGAAATCCTTTGATGCGATCCGGCAAATGGAAAGAGGTGGGGGATGGAGAATTGGACTGGATTCTAAGGGTGCTGGGGAGGCACGGAAGGGTTTTAACTGGGATGTGACGTGATCAAATGTTCCTTTTGCAGGATCACTGTGAATATTGCTAGAGACCTTTTGATGGTTTGAAATCATTCATGCAAGAGACACCAAGTACCCAGGATGTTTCAAGCACTGACCCAGGTCCTGAGGCTGCAACAGACAATTAATTAAGGGTTCGGCAGACAGAGCAAGACCTGGTGGGGACATTGAGTGCCCCGCTACGGAGGAGTCTGAGTGGATAGAGGCTTGGAGTGTGGAAGTGTATGGCTTTCACAGAAAGAAAGCCAAGCCCTGGTGCTGGATGACGAAGCAGTGAGATGGGAGATGGCGCTCAGGGAACTTGCAGGGGACTTGTCGTGGAGAGACTGCAATGTCTAGGAGAGGAGAATAAAGGAATGAAAGCGGGAGGAGAGGCAGTGGGTTAGGGGTGAAAACTCCTGCTCCGCGTAACCTCCCTTGAAAGTGGCCAAGTGGGCAGAGGGCAGAGGCCCTGGCCAGCCCCGTCAGCGCCCCATGCCTCCTGAGCTCTGCTGAGCCCTGCAGCTCGGCTCCTCCTGGCTCCAGAAGTCAGACGAAACCCTGAAGGAGAGCCGAGGCGGGTGAGGAGGGGGCGGGCGGGAAACAAGCCCAGGCCTCTCACCCCAGCGGGGCCTTCCTTCCCAGCGGCTGGAGCCAACCCTGCTGAGGAGCCAGAGGTTACAGGGAAGGATTAAGGAGTTGGTTGCTTTTTTCCCCAAATTGTGGCTGCATTTCTCTCTCTCTCTCTTTTTTTTTTTTTAAAGAAAAATGTTCCTGTACACGCACCCGGAGGCTTTTGCAGGAGGCGGCTGTTGGAGAACCAGGAAAACAAGCCAAGAAACAAGAGAGAGGAAAAAGACCACGCCTCGCTTGGCAGATTCCTAATGGCCCAGGAGACCTGAGGCTTTACAGTGGGAGGCCGGTGGGGGCTGGCTCGGGTGGGAGGGAAGGGCAGGCCGAAGGACAGCCACTTGCTGGCCAGTGACCTTGGGCGGGATGCTGCCTGCTTCCCTCTGGTGAGAATGGGGAGGAGGGGGCAGGGGCCAGGCTGGCCGGCTGAGGTCACAGGAAGGCCCCTTCCAGCCTGAAACGCGATCTCGGGATGTGGGGCCTGCCAACCTGCAGCGACCCTGGGCCAACAGAGATGAAAGGCTGCCTGTCCCCGGCTTCCGGACCCCCGAGGCCCCAGTGCCTCCAACTTGAAGGGCAGCAAAGCGGCTGCAGCTGGCTGAACCCGGTTACTGGGCTCCCCCCACCTACCACCACCACCCTCCCCTGCCACCTGATGTCCTTCAACCCTCCCTTCCCTGATTTGCAGAGGACACTTGGGGCCCAGAGAGGGCTCGTGACCTGCCCGAGGTCACACAGCAAGTTGGAGGCTGAGCCAGGACTCACCACAAAGTCTTTGGATTCCAAGGCCAGGCCTCATTCCCTTTCCTGGAAACTTGGCTGCCTGGGGGGCTTACCCTGGGGAGTTGGAGAGACCCAGGGTTAGGGAGGACAGTTGGGAGCTGTGTCTGTTTGAAGTCACAGCTTAATGTTGATTAAAGTGCCTTTAAAAAAAAAAAAAAGACGAAAGGAACGTTCCCAGCCCCTGCCATGAGCCTGGACTTGCTCCGCTGGCAGGGGAAGGAACGGTGGCCAGCTGCAGCCTCAGTTCCTGCCGCTCCCGCCCCAGCAGACAGAGGGACAAAGGCCTCTTCTCAGCCCGTCCCCTCCAGCCCCCTGGATCAGAGCAACAACCAGGAGGCCCTGTCTCTGACCAGCTAAGTCCCTGTTTCTCTCTAGGTCTCAGTGCCCTTTCTGGAAAATGGGGGCAGAGTATCTGCCTGACCTACTTCTCAGCACCATTTTGAGGTTTCAAAGAGGGAGAGTTAACAGAAATACAAACCTCTCAGCACCTCCTTCTGCCTGAGGGCCGGCCACCTCTGAGACCCCTCTCCCTCAGGCTTAAACTGGCCAGTCCCAGCCGCTCATTGGGGACCATCCCTCACTTTGGGGAGCCCTCCCTCACCTCCAGACTGTGCTGCTCCTTCAAGGTATTTATCCCCGTTGTAATTAAATAATTAATTGTGTAATTGAATCTGTCTCCCCATTAAAAGGTGAACTCTGTAATAATAACAGCTGACACAAAATGCTTACCCAGTGCCAGCGACTTTCCATGTATTAACCCATTTAGTCTCTGTGCCAGGTACAGTTAGTTTTCCCATTTTACAGATGAGGAAACTGAGAAAAGGAGAGATAGAGTAATGTACCTGAAGTCACAGCAAGCTGGAAGCAGAGCCAGAACTCTGTGCAAGGAGTAACAGAACCGGGATTCAGATGCAGATCCCAGGCTGGAATCATTAAGCCACTAATGAGGCCAGTTCAATTTGTTCCTTGTCCATCCTAGCTCCAGAATACCTGGCATACAGTAAGTGCTCCATATGTATTGGGTGAACAAGGACAAAAGCAAGTGATAAATGCATTCAGGTATTTGGAGAAGACTAAGTGGTGTTGGAGAAGACTCTTGAGAGTCCCTTGGACTGCAAGAAGATCAAACCAGTCAATCCTAAAGGAAAATCAGTCCTGAATATTCACTGAAAGGACTAATGCCGAAGCTGAAGCTCCAATACTTTGACTACCTGATATATAGAGCTGACTCAGAAAAGACCCTGAAGCTGGGAAAGATTGAAGGCAGGAGGAGAAGGGGACGACAGAGAACAAGATGGTTGGATGGCATCACTGACTCAATGGATGAGTTTTTGCAAGCTCCGGGAGATGGTTAAGTATAGGGAAGCCTGGCGTGCTGCAGTCCATGGGGTCTCAAAGAGTCAGACAAGACTCAGCGACAGAACAAGAACACCATCCAGGGGTGAGTTTTGCAGGTGCCACGTGTGGAGCGAAGCCCTGATGAAGGGAGGTGGTACCCAATGTATTGTTAAAGACCTGTTATTGAGCTTCTTTCTGGAACATAACAGGCCCCAAACCTGGGACATCATCTGTGATGCCTCCTTCCACTTCATCTGCCAGAGCCATTCAGCCCCCAGGGTCTGCTCGCCATCTCCCAGTGCACCCCATCTTCTCCATCCTTCAACCCCCATCTTTTCCTTGAATTTTTGTAGCAACGCTTACACAGGGTTCTCTGTCTCTAATTTCTCCTCCTTCGAAGTGGGCCTCTAAAAATATAAAGCTGGGGACTTCCCTGGAGGTCCAGTGGTTAGGGATCTACCTGCCAATACAGGGGACACAGATTCCATCCTTGGTCCAGGAAGATCTCGCACACCATGCAGTAACCAAGCCCATGTGCCACAGCGACTGAAGCACTCACACCCTGGAGCCTGTGCTCTGTGACAAGAGATGGCACCTCAGTGAGAAGCCCATGAACCGCAATGAAGACCCAGTGCAGCCAAAAATAAATAAAGTTTAAAAGTGGTAATAAATAAAAACAGAAAGCTAATTGTGTGTCCCATCCCTGTTTACTCCCTCCCTCACTAATAAACCTTGCATGGCTCCCCACTGCTCTCTGGATAAAGCCTGCACTCCTCACTAAGACTTCTACCACCCAAACCTCTGCCTCCCCACAGCAGTCTCCCCCTACCCCAGTCTCACCTTCTACCCTTCTCCACATGTCCTTTGCCCAAACCACTCTACATAGAAGTTAAGAGCATGTAAGACGTAGGTTCAAGTCTAAATTTTGCCATTTACCAGATGTGGAAGTTTGTAAACAAATCAGTTTCCTTCTCTAAGCCTCAGTTACCACATCTGGGAAAATGGGCATAATTATATACTTCTTCATAGATTCATCGTAAGGATTAAATGAATACATACGGTGCTGAGCACAGCACCCAACACTCCCAGTAGTTCCCGTAATTCTTACCCTTTCCTCTGCTACAAAGAGCATTTCCTACTGTCAGTCTTAGTATTCTTTATGACCCAGCTCAAATGTCACCTCTTGGAGGAGATCTTGCTTGATATTCACACTCTGTTCCCCAAGTGAAATCAGCTTGACTTTCCAGGCTCACTTGCACTTTGCACCTCTGTAAAGCACTTGTAATATTGTTGCACCCTTTCCCCCATTACCCCAAGAGTTCCGGGAGAGCAGGAACAACACCTTCTTAACTAGCCCACGCCTGGAGTGCAGCAGGTGCTCAGAAGGTGTAGGTAATATTGACTGGAGGCACCACTTTCAGTGCCTTTCTCCCTCTCTCGTTTTTTTTTTGTTTTTTTTTTTTTTTTGGTTGCACTGGGTCTTCATCGCTTTTGTGTGGGCTTTCTCTATTTGCAGAGAGCGGGTGCTACTCTTCTTTGGGGTACACAGGCTTCTCATTGCACCCATTACTCTCTGGTTGCAGAGCACAGGTTCTAGGCACGAGAGGGTTTCAAAAGTTGCGCCTCTAGGACCATAGAGCTTACTTGCTCTGCAGCGTGTGGAATCTCCCCAGACCAGGAATCGAACCTGCGTCCCCTGCACTGACAGGCAGGTTCTTACACATTGCGCCACCAGGGAAGTCCCTCAGTGCCTTTCTTGAGTGCCTTGCAGGCAGGAGGCCTGAGTGATGCTGGGACCTGGTTGCCTGAGTCCCACTCCAGCTCCGCCGCTGGTATGTTGATATGTGGGTGGGAGTGGAAGTGGGTAGAAGAAACCCCTGACCTCTGTGCTCTTGCTTCCGGCTGGGCCTTTGCAGTCCTCTGAGGGAGGAGATGGGAGAAGGTGGGGAGGAGGGACAGGTGCTGAGCAGGGGTGAGGTGGGGCTATAGCCAGAGCTGGGGCGTGAGTGGGAGCTGGCAGACTCCAGCTGCTCCAAGACCAGGGCTGGGCCCTGCAGGACAGAGCTTCACAGCCCAAGTCCCCGCCTGCCATGCCCCGCCTCATCCTGGCACCTGCCTGAAGTGACTTTTCAGGTTGTAAAACTACATCTTGATCTGCAAGGAAGCAGAATCCAAGCCTGGCCTTGTCTGGTTGCTGAGCAGGGAAGAAGGGGAGTGTTCCCTTTTATTCTCTTTTTGTGTAGGCAATCCCTTGCAATCCCAGACACATCAAAGGAGGTAGCACTCTTTGCAAACCCAGGTTAAGGTCAGGTTATCCCCCAACTGTTGCTTCAGGTGCCGGTCCTGCCACTCCCCCTATTCAGAACCCTCCTCTCAGGGGCCTAGCACCCTCAGGATAAAGTCCCAACTCCAAACCCAACCCATAAAGTCCTGGGTAGTCTGGCTTCTGCCTCCTCTTGCACTTTTTCTCACTGCCTCCATGTCTTCTGCCTTTTCTCAGTTCATTCCAGCACACCTTGCCTCTTCCTTTCTCTGGGCCTTCACACATACTGTTTTCTCTGTCTTGAATGCTATTCTCCATCCCCTGATAATTTTGTTTTATGCTGAGTGCTCTTGATGCCTAAGAAATCTTGGCCTATCCCAAGATCCTGAAGGTACGTCCATTTGTTTTCTTCTAGGAGTTTATAGTGTTAGCTTTCACATTTAGGTCCCTGATTCATCATGGTGTATTGTCAGGTAGAGGCTGAGACTCATTCCTGCTCTAATTCCTACTCATTTTTTCTTTTTTTTTTTTTTTTAATTTTTTGGCTGCACTGGATCTTTATTGCGGTACACGGGGTCTTCCATTGTGGCATGCGGGCTTTCTCTAGTTGGGCTACAAGGGCTTCTCACTGCAGTGCCTGGGCTTTTCTTGTTGTGGAGTATGGGCTTAATTACCCCATGGCATGTGGGATCTTAGTTCTCTAACCAGAGATTGAACTCATGTGCCCTGCATTGGAAGGCAAATTCTAAACTGCTGGAACACCAGGGAAGTTCTTGACAGTTCAGCTTATCCCTCACCTCCTCTGAGAAGACTTCCTTGACTGCTTCAAGACTAGATCAGTTCCTCCCA